GTACAGTAAATATAGTTATACATTTTATTTAAGTTTCTTTACTCCAATCATCAAGTATTCAGTAATTAAAAGAGGCTGCATTCAATCCATACATTAAACTGTAGTTGAGTTGTTCTTGATACAAATTTAAGAACCATATATTGTAATTCTCTTTATATACATTCACTTTTTGTTTGTTACGAGCCTTACCTCTTTGACACGTAACAATACAATGGTATGAGTTATTAAAGATATCACCTACATTGGTGAGTTCTGAGGTGACAAAAGAGGCCGATACGGGACAGGCAGGGTCGATCATAGATGTTGCACATGTGGGGCTACATCTAGTGCGGGAGGGGCGGCGGCAGCGTCTTTCCAGCGTTAGCGCTTGTCTGCCTCGCTTTGTAATCGAGCTAACTCGAAAGTATTGACACCTTCTCGTGGGGTGTTCCTACAAGCGTTACAGTGTGGAGTAATCGTCTCCCAGGTGAGGGGGTCGATTTGGCACTTTCTTAGATTTGTCTTAAGACTATCCTTATAACTTTTCAGTTACCCACCAGCATTATGTTTACTATTCGTTAGGTGATTGTAGAGTAGCTGCTTTGGCAGTCTACTGTCGTCCATGTGGGTAACATGGCCAGTCCAACGTTATTGTTCATGGATAATGGTAGAGTCGATGCTCCTGCATTTTGTGTCAGCAGGAATACTGACATTTCTTCTCTCGTTTTCCAAGCGAACTCGGAGGATGGAACGTAGACTGAGTTGGTGCCTTGAGGTGCCTCCTGTATGTGACCCATGTCTCGCTGCCATAAAGCCGGGTGGGGAGAACCACTGCTCGATATACTCGTAGGTGCAAATTTGTAGATAATTTCAGCTCCCTACGGCTGAAGACACGGGTACGAAGTCTGCCAAAGACTTGAGATCCACATCTGATCCGAAGTTGAATCTCTTCATCGATTTCCGTGGTGGTAGACACAAGGGAGCCGAGATACTGAAAGTGGGTAACATTAGAGAGGGTAGTACTGTTAAGTTGGATGGATAGTAGAGGTGTGGCTGGACCAGTCTTACGTACATTCACCTCAGGGCCGAAATGTTCATATGCATCTTCGTAGGTGATCAGAATATCCTGTAGGTCACGGTCAGTGTGAGAGACAAGGGTGGGGTCGTCTGCATACTGAAGTTTCGTAATGGAAGCTGCTGACATCTTTATTCCTGCAGTACTCCTGCAACACCCACTACAAACACTTGCAGCACATACTACAATCAGCACCCGCAGCACTTACTACAAATAACAACTACAACACCCAGTACAAACATCATCTGCAGCACTTACTACAAACAACACTTGCAACACCCACTATAAATACCTGCATAATTAATTACAGACAATACCTAATCACTTGCAGTACTTACTACAAACAGCAGCTGTAGCACTTATTACAAAAAAAAATATCTCCAGAACTTACGATAAACAACATCTGCTGCATGTTACAAACAACACCTGCAGCACTCAGTGAAAACAATACCTGCCACACTTAATATAAACAACACATGCAGCACCCACTGGAAACAAACCCTGCAACATTTAGTACAAACATCATCTGTACCAATTACTAAAAACAATACTTACAACATTCTCTACAGAAACTTGCAGAACTTTTTGCAGAAAACACCATCAGTATCCACTACAAACATCACCTGCAGCACTTACTAGGAGCAACAACTGCAGCACCCACTGCAAACAACCATTGCAGCACTTACTACAAACAGAACCTGCAGCACTTATTACAAACAGAACCTGCAGCACTTATTACAAACAACACCTGCAACACCTACTAAAAAAAGCATCTACAGCACTTACTACAAAAAATATCTGCAGCACTTACTATAAATAACACCTCCAGCATCTGTTATTAACAACACTTGCAGCACCCACTTTGAAATAATACCTGCCACATTTACTACAAACATCACCTGCAGCACTTATTGCAAACAACACCTGACAAAAAACACCAGTAACAATTATTACAAACAACACCTGCAGCACCCGTTGCAAACAAAGCCTGCACCACTTACTAAAAACAACACCTGCAGCACCCACTACAAACAACACCTGCAGCACCCACTACAAACAACACCTGCAGCACCCACTACAAACAACATCTGCAGCACCCACTACAAGCAACATCTGCAGCACCCACTACAAGCAACATCTGCAGCACTCACTACAAACACCTGCAGTACTACAAACAACATCTGCAACACCCACTACAAACAACACTGCAGCACCCATTGCAAACAACACCTGCAGCACCCACTATAAACAATATCTGCAGCACCCACTGCAAGCAACATCTGCAGCACTTACTACAAACAACAACTGCAGCACTTACTGCAAACAGCATCTGCAGAATTTATTCCAAACAACACCTGTAACACCCACTGCAAACAGCATTTGCAGAATTTAATACAAACAACACCTGCGTCATTTACTACAAACAACACCTACTGCAAACAACATCTGCAGCACTTACAACAAACAACACCTACAGCACCCACTGCAAACAACCTCTGCAGCACTTACTATGAACAACACCTGTCGTATCTACTACAAACAACACCTGTAGCACCCGCTGCAAACAAAACGTGCACCACTTTCTACAAAAACCACCTGCCGCATCTACTACAAACAACACCTGCAGCAATTACTACAAACAACACCCACAATACCCAGTACAAACAACACCTGCATTACTTACTACAATTAACACCTGCAGCACCCACGGCAAACAACCTCTGCAGAACTTATTACATACAACACCTGCCGCACCCACTGCAAACAGCGTCTGCAGCATTTACTACAGTACAAACAGAAACTGCATCATTGACTGCAAACAACGCCTGTAGCATCTGCTACAAACAACACCTGCAGCACCCATTGCAAACATTGCTGACAAACAAAGTCTGCGCCATCTATTACATACAACACGCGCAGCACCCATTGAAAGCATCATATGCCGCAATTACTACAAACAACGCCGACTACAATCACCTGAAGAGCTTACTACAAACAACACCTGCAACACCCACTACATATAACACCTGTAGCACCCCATACAACACCTGTAGCACCCACTGCAAACAACACCTGCAGTACTAACTACAAACAATCTCTGATCAGTCATTGCAAAATTCTCCTGCAGCACTTATTACAAACAAAATCTGCAGCACTTACTACCAACAACACATGCAGCACCTCCTAAAAACAACACCTGCAGTATCTTCTACAAACAACACTTACAGCACCCACTGCAAACAATACCTGCCACACTTACTATACAAACATCTCCTGCAGCAATCATTGCAAACAACCCCTGTCAAACAACACCTGCAGCATTTACTACAAACAACACATGAACACCCACTGCAAACAACACTTGTAACACTTATTGCAAACAATATCTGCAGCACTTACTAAAAACAACACCTGCAACGCCCACTGCAAACAACACCTGCAACACCCACTACAAACACCACCTATAGCGCTTACTAAAATCAACACCTGCAGTACCCACTGCAAATAATATCAGCAGCACTTATTACAAACAATATCTGCTGCACTTACTACAAACAACACAACACTTGCAGCATTTTCTCCAAATATCATCTGCAACATTCACTATAAACAACATATGCAACACCTACTACAAGCAACACCTGCAGCACCCATTGCAAAGAACACCTGCAGCACCTACAAACAAAAGGTGCAGCACCTATTGCAAAACTCCTGCTGCCAACCATGCTTGGAAACACCTGCTGGTTTCTTATACTACTCAATAAATGTTCCTCATATAATATTCCTACACCTGTTGGGATCTCAAATTCTACGGTATCTGCCCTTTACTTGCTGTGCCTGTACATACCATTTAAAATTAACCCGACGTCCCACTCCCTTACACCAAATCTGTTAATCCTAATCCTGTACATGATGTTTCAACGCGTGTCCCACATCTGTTTACACACACCTGATTCTCACACTCTTGCTGCATTAACACATATTCTACACCTATGAACCACGCACTTGTTCTCTCACTCTACTGTCTTCGTACGTGTCGCACACCTGCTTCCGCGTATTTATTGCCTCATCATCGGTCTTACGTCTGCTAGCTATACAGTAATCAGTATTTTATACTCTTGCACATACTAACTCAGTAGCTACCCTACACATCCTAGTCCCACACTTGCGACTAACCAATTCTTATTACCCACACTTGCCACCCTATGTATCCAGTTCCACACCCACACTTCTAACCCTAATCCTCCACTTCCATCCCTGTCGCCTCAAACCGCAGCTTCAGAGTTACTACGGCGTAACAACTCTTTTTTTTTTTTGTGAAACTGAATTCACAGACCTGTTGTAATAGATATGAGGTCTTGTGTACATGCTGACCCGTGCATGTTCACTATTATCTGTTGTTCTACATCTGCAGCCCACATCTTTCCTTACAACTACTACCCTGCAATTGCGTTGTACACCTACTTCCTGATACCTATTCCTAGATACTTGATACTGCACACTTACCTACAAAAGCTTATCTACACCTGTTCTCCTAGATTCTACTGCAGTACCCCTGCACGTTACACCACACCTGCTTCCCCAGTACCATCAACTCCACACGTTTGCTGCTACTTAGCCTCCCCCCTCAAACATTTACGGAGTTTATTCAAGCCACGAACACTCAATACAGCAACGGTTCTCAATATCGATGTCTTACTGGAAATTCACACTCTTTTGGTTTGTTTATATGTGTATCTATAGACTTGTTGACGTATTAATATCTATTGCAAAGAATAACATAAAGATGGAAAATACATATGAAAGAGATATTATCATAAAATTGTAACAATCAGTGACATATACGAAGAGTGATCTACAACCTGATCACTAGTGCGGATACCAAAAATTGCAGGAGCGTGAACACAATCACCCCAGAGACGAGGTATTCCAAACAACAACTTACCTATACTTCAAGATATTCTCGTGGAGGATCGTCGCCCCGTGCCCTGGATATACCTTGGTCAGTATTCAGTGTCACTTTGTGGTGCAAAAGAACGTAGCTAAGGCTCTGATGAGTCAGTGACGGAAACTGGGGAGAGGCAGCAGCGCCCAGGTACCGTAGCGTGAAAGTATCGGTGAACTGCGTCGCGGGGACTACAGCTGTAAGCCTCTGGCGCCGGCCAACTCGAAGCGCGCTCATCGATCCAGTGGCCGCCAAGAACCGTAGAGGCGACGGTGTCAACTGTTTTCGAACATATATAAATTTTTTCTGCAACTCCACAGTAAATCATATTTTAATAAGTTCCCATAAGAATCATCTGTATTACTAATTTAGGCAGCTTAAATGTGTATGGTTTTGATATGATTATTGCTTTACAGTAATTTATTTCATTTCTAAAGACACCGCTTCCAAGAAATGACCTTGGCACTATAAAAATTAATATATATGTATTTGGCTTTTGTTACAAAGGTATCAGTGAACATTGTTAATATATTTGTAAGTCACAAAATGTGTTCCAAAAGAGTAAACTGCCAGTCTAACTGAAGGCTCAAATGCAATATTCGTTCGTATTCTATATTATTCATTGATAAAGTACTCCACAGAAAACGAAAAAGAACAAATGTCAGAAAATGAATCACTCTATATGGAAAACCTATTTATTTTTGTTAATCGTCTTATATTTTGTTTATTTTGCTTACTTAGCGGCCACTACATATAATTGGGGGTTCATCTGGAGGATGAGATCTATTTTTGAATAACGTGAAAATTTATCTGGATACTATAAACAGTTGGTGTTGAACAGGGATCCGCAACCTTGATATATCCGTCTAGAAAATTTATATTTGCGTCGACATGACGGCATCTAGAATATATGATGAGCGTCCGACAAAGTTGATAAGCTAAGGCAGGCATGGGCAATCTTTCCTCAGTCATGGGCCGCATTACGATTTATGCATTATTTTTGCGGGCCAACTCACCAAAATTTATATCCTACCTAACCCAAAAGTAATGTTAATATTGTATTAGCACGGACAGTGAAACAGTTTATCGTCATGACCCAGGGCGGATCCAGGAATATCAAAAGGGGAGGGCGTCCAATAAGTTGTGGGTGAGGGAACATGGCAAACATAGCGAGCATTTTGAGGCCATTTTAAGGCCTGGTTCACTTGATATTAGGAAATATTTTGAGGTGAGTAGTAATTACTTTTTGCTATACAAAAATGCCTGAGTACAATTCTGCTTTTAAAAAAGTATTGGAATATTGGAAGAAAAGGGCGGTCCGGATCCGTAGAACCCCCTGGATTCGCCCCTGCACGTCCACTTTACGTTATTTTCAGTTTACAATCACAGTGTTTTTCCCATTTATGAAACAAATCCATCGTAATAATTGTTTTAAGTAAAATGTTAATGTTTCTTGCCATTTAACAGAAGATGAGTGAAGCAGTCTGTGAATACGTTGATTTTTCCTACATTTACAACATTTTTTCTTACTTTTAAGACTTGGACTTGCCCAACCTTAGTTAATTTTCAAGTGACCCACTGCCACATCGCAGCTGATCCGTCAAACAGACCGTGCCGAACTTGGCTTGTAAACTCACACAAGTTAAAATGTTTATATTGTTGACTATTTATACTTATTTTACTGTTACAGGTTCGTAGTTATTTACTCTTAGGTGACAAAACAGTAATGAATTTTGTGTGAAGATTATTCTTTTAATAAATATTACTTTACTCACCATATGTTGGCTGCATCTACCTGAACCGCGGGCCACATTAAATAAAAAAAAATCAATCACTCAGCGGGCGCTTAAATAACAATAATGGAAGCACCTCGAAATCGAGGATGGCCGGCCCAAGGGCCTCCTCGGCGTGAAATTGTTAAGTTGTACAAGCTGTCTCCAACAGAACAACCACACCCTAAGTTAACGAGCTGCATGACCCAGTGTCGCGGAATAGTCCGAGAAGACTGGATAGCTCGCCAACTGCACTGGTTAACCATTACCCAGAAATACGACTAACATCCAGGTTCCCAATTACTGCTGGGTAGATGGTGGCAAATGGCGTAAAGAAACTTGCCCATAGTTTCACCCTGCCCGAGGATCAAACTCGTGTCCACTCGCTTGTGAGGCGAGGATGCTGACCATTACACCACAGGTCTCATAAAATTAAACAAGCAGTTTTCAAACCAAATATGACATTCTGAATTGCATTAATCCTCTATTACTTGCAAAGGCTGTGATTTTCTTTGATGCATCAGTAAGTGGGACCTGGTAGTATCCCTTACACAGATCGATCTCAGTGAAAAACTTATCCCCAACAAACTCTCCCAAGGACTCATCCACTATAGGCTCAGCATCAAATTAGGCTACATCATTAACACTACGATAATCAATGCACAATCTCCATGAATTGTCAGTCTTCCTTATAAGAGCAACAGGTAAACAATATGCAGAGTCAGAATGTTCAATAGTTCCCATGTCAAACAATTTATCAGCTTCATTGTTAAACACCTGAACCAAATTATGAGGTATTGGATGTGGTTTCTTGTAAACTGGGATATTTGTAGTTAATTTAATATCATGGTAAATACTTTCTGTTTTCCCTGGTTTACAAGAAAACACATCTGAATATCCTAAATTAGGGGAATCAGTCTCTTCTTTTTGTTCACAGGTTAATGTCCTATTGATGCTAACCTTAGAGCTTGTATCAGAGAAATCGTAAACAATTATATCACAATTAGAACCTGGACAGAGTCAGGGTTACAGGAATCTCTTTAACATGTTGACATGAAAAAGTTTGATCTTATCTCGAACTTTGACACAATAGTCTGCACCATTAAAATGAGTTCCAGTGACACAATATGGACCTTTTCAAGTCATAGTCAGCTTATGAGAAGTTGGTAGTTATACTAACACCCCATCACTAATTTCCATTTTCATAGTTTTAGCTTTCTTGTCAAAATAGGTTTTGTACTGAGAACTACTAATGTTAGAATTTTTGAGAGCAAGTTCAGCAGAAGTTTCTAATCGACATCTTAAGTCCAAAACATATTGATAAGTATTACGTACATCGTCACCTAGATCTTCCTTCATCCATAGTTCGTACATAATATGCAAGGGACCTCTCACTTGTTGACCATAAAGAGGTTCAAAAGTTCAAAATTTTAGTGTGTCATAAGGAATTTCCCTATAAGCAAAGGGAATAGAAGGAATATATCTATCCCAGTCTCGAGGTCGATAAATATATGCGTTGCAATATGATTTAAAAACATTATGAAATCTGACCTAAACTGGGACCTCTATCGGACAATATCTCAATAGGTGTACCAACACCTGAGAAAATAGAAGATTTTCAGTCACAGTTAAAATATCAATATTTTTCAATGGCTCCGGGAAACGAGTTGTATAATCAATAAGGGTGAGAATGTATTTGTGACCTGTAATAAAGTTATACTACACTTGTACATTTAAACCCAAACACACACACAAACACACAGACATACTTCTTTGTTTTATATATATATATATATATATATATATATATATATATATATATATATATATATATATATATATATATATATATATATATATATATATATACTAGCGGAATCGCTCTTTCGCTAGGCCACCGTAGGACGCCAACCTCCGGGAGGCTCCACATTGTCTCACTGTAGTGCATTAAGGTAGACCACATTTTTGGTTTTGCCATTAGCAGCAAGTATGTACAGATTTTTGCCAGTTCCCACTCTGGAGCATCCAACATAGAACTGTCCATGAGAGAAGCAAGGAAACACCAGGTTTAGGCCAACCATCTTTAGGGACTGTCCTTGGCTTTTGTAGATGGTCATGGCAAAGCTGACTTTAACCGGGAACTGAAGTCGCTTGAACTCAAATGGCAGGTCAGTGGTGATGAGAAGTATCCTTGGTATAAAAACGTCCTCTCCTTTAGGTTTTCCTGTCAGTATTGTAGCTTCCAGTACATGTGGCATCATGTTCTTCACCATCAGTCTTGTGCCATTGCAGAGGATTGGTGGTTCAAGATTTCTTAAGAGCATTATAGGAGTTCCAATCTTGAGAGTGAGGTGGTGAGGAGGCATTCCAGCTGGCTCCAAAGAATTAAGGAATTCTCCAGGGTACTGGACTGCTTGGTCCTGGTCGATTACTGCATCAACAGATTTGAATGAGGTCTCACTGTCTGGAAGCTGTCTGAGTAGAGTCATGTTGATTTCAGCCACTGTTTCATTCTTTGGTGCCAGAATTGCGCGTTCTCGCAGCCACTTGTGATCCTTGTAGTGGTGAATAATGTTTGGGAAGACCATGTTAGTGAGCTCAGTTGAGGACTTTACAACCTTTCCACATCCTTGAGGAATGATTATATGTTCTTCTGAATCAACAGGGAAAGTTCCATTCCCAATCTGTAGTAGAAGGTTTGCAAACCGTCCAGCATCCTGATCTCCTTGTAGATGTACTCTCATGTTTGTGGATAGGGTGAGTGTCTGAACACTTCTCCAAAGGTATGATGCCTTGAGGCACGCATTCAGTTCATCAGCTGGAGTGCTTCGAGGAATGACAGGTAGGGTCTGGCGAAAGTCTCTACTATGACCATTGTAATGCCACCCATGAGATGGTCATTGTGAGCGAGGTTGAGAGGCAGTTTAAAAGTTGAGTGTGCAGTACGTCCTCCTTCTAGTAGTGTTGCAGCAATTCCTGAGGATGCCACAGCAAGAGCAATTTTCCCCTGATGACGTACTTTGGCCAACAGAAGGTTGATCAGGAACGTTTTTCCTGTCCCGCCAGGTGCATTGAGAAAGATCATACCTCCCTGCTCTGCTTGTATCGCTTTCAAGATCTGCTCATAAGCATCTGCTTGATCAGGCACCAGGTGAGGCTCATTTTCTTCGAGAAAACTCACCAGAACTTCATCTTATTGGCGACCTGGGGTGCAATGGTAAGCATGCTCTCCTCGCCAGCAAGCGGACCCGGGTTTGATCCCAGAGAAAGGTGAACAAACAGACAGACAGACTTCTTTTTTATATGTATGTTTGTATATATATATTTATATATATATATGTATAATCAACACCTCAACCCGCCAGGATTCGAACCCACGGCCCACAAGCCTATGACTGTGACCGGGGAACGCTAACCGCTGGACCACCAGGATACTAAAAGCAGTCCTAGACTTTGTTATATTTCACACAAAA